ATAACTTACTAAGCCATGAATAGATAAGTCAGACCGAAAATAGGAAACCGACTCAAGACTGCAGTAATGAAGTGATTAGTAATCAAGAGGCAGCCTCGGTAAGGTGAGAACCGGTTGAGAACACACCAATCGCCAAGTGAAAGTCATTGGACTTTATTAACATGGGTGGGTCCCGAGTCCATGGCACTTACCATTTGTTAATCTTTATTCTTCAGAAACTATGTAGGACAACAACAGGGTGCAATGAACAATGTTGTTTGCAGAAGATAAACTTACAGTTCAATATGTTTTCAGTAGAAGTCACATCGAACTTGGCCTCACAGAAGGGTGGGATCAATTTGAATGAAGAATTTCAAGAATTTCAATAGAACGAAAGTAAACGATGATTATTTTGATGTCGACTATCGTAATGTCATGGAAAGGAAATTCAAGAAGGAGACATCCATGCGACCGGAACTTTACACTTGATCGTTCTCGAGAGCCAATAGAGTAGGGCAACAGAGCAAATAGTTACAGAAGTACTTGACCCTAGCGAGAATGCACTCACTCAGGTCACATCACTACTTCAAAAGTGATTATTCCACTGTTTGAGAAGGGAGAAGACAAGTGGCTCAGCTCATTATGATTGTTGTCTCAATTACAAGACCTCTAGCTCTTACTTAGAACTTTGGTAAAAGTAAAGTCTGCCCAGCATCAAAGCTCACCTTCTTTTCATACCCACTTCCCTCTGCGTTCGAGGAGCTTTGACAGAAATCGGCCTATACAGTCAATCAGTCCCAGAATGCGCCACGTTCGTTTTTAAAATGCATTTTGCTTATAGAATTGGTTGCTAGGACAGATTGTGCACGAAAATGTTTTTGTCTTTCCAGAGGTGCCTGATAAGCGAGCTGGGAGGGGTAGAGGGTCTAGTTGGTCTTCACTGATAGCATAAATGAATTAGTCCTCGGACCATGTGTGTGGTTGTAAATACACACAGCACTACTCGACCTTCTTGAGAACTCCCAACTCGCTTATCGGGCACCTCTTGAAGGACAAAAACATTTTCGTGCACAATGTGCCCTAGCAACCAATTCTATAAGCAAAAAGTATATCGAAAACGCTTTCCAAATGTCTGGCGGGGATCAAGGACGTGGAGCGTTTTGGGTCTGCTTGACTGGAAAAGCCGTCACAGCCGTTTTGTCAAAGATCTAACACAGAGAGAAGTGGGTCTGAAAAGAGATGAGATGCATATCAAGGGCACTATCTTTTACAGAGCTGACAAAAGCCATACCTTCTAAGCGACTTCACTATGAGTAGACTAACGACCTTCATTTTGGCCCTCATATGATAGACAAGACGGATAATTCGAGGAAAAACACTACTTAGGCAATTTCAGGGTGTCGATACCCTTTGGAGCCCATCCAAATAAGCTAAACCTTTTATTCCTTCGGGATCAGTCAGCTTAAATGAAATCTAGCGCTCAGTATAACATCATGGACTTAAGAATCTGCAGGCTGTATCCGGTTATGGGTTGATAAGGACCGGGAAACGTCATTCTTCCATGGAAGGGAGATTTCAAGTGTGAGCAATGACTCCATCCCTAAACTGAACGCGGCGTTGAGCTCTATTGAAGTCCTTGAAAACTAAAGATATTGAAGCACAACCCTACTGAGTACACAGCTGTACAAGGAAATTAAATGAAGAGAAACAGGGCGTGACTAGTTGCCTGCCCACTTGAAGGAAAAGGTGAGATCATTGATGTGAATCTTAGGCGATTACGTTTCCATTCTAGTTTTCTTCTTATCGGGCATTGTTGTTGTATTGTTGATTGAATGACCCATTTTCATTAACTATGTCTTACCTGGCCTCCATAAATCAAGAAACTGTTCTTCTAACATTGATCAATATGTTCAACAAACACAATTACCCTGCAGATGATTGATTGCAGAACTGATTGAATTGGATTTTTGGGGTATTGAGAAATGGTGAAGACAGTGACCCAAGTAACACCTATTCGGGAGCTGTCATAAATGTATCCAAAGGAGATTACGCCAAGTTTCAGTGAAGATAAGCTTGGGGTCAAGGAACCGAGAAAAAGGTTGTTTGTGCCTGTTCATTTAGGAAAAGTTGGCTTCGGTCTAGAGAAGAGGAACCGAACGTGCGAAACTTGTAGCGGACCTTGTCCACTACGTGTAATTTTATGGCATCATAAATTTTGCATTCAATTTTTATCTTATCTATACCATAGTAGGATGAGTTTTTTTGAAGTAATTATGTCTACGAGTAGAAGGAGTGAAAAAAGACCAATAAATCGTATTCTGATAACATTCGGACCCGCTTAGGGAGACTGCGATATGGTTTGGGCCAGCGCAATGTCAAGGGGCTACTGCCTATCTACGTAAGGTGCTACGAAGATCTATACAGATTCCATATTTTAGCAATAGACTTCTACTACATGGTATAGGGAAAGCCTTCAATATATTAGAATTTAGACTTGAGTGGCTTTTGGGAAGGAGTCAAAAATAAAGGCTCACTTAAAACGAGAATGAAACTGACACCGACTGAGAGAAAATTGAATCTCTGAGAGGGTTCGGAAGATATAACAAAAACTGAATCGATTCTAAGAAGTATTTAGAAACGGCTGTATCGATGGAGGCGACTTTTATGAGAGAAGACGTACATACGGGGGAAGTGTGAGGGCAACGTTACTTGGAACTGGTGTCCCTTACAGGCTATTCTAATAGTGTGATGTGAGAAAACAAGTCATTCTCCCTATTTAAGGTTCATGACTTCATAAAATGTTATCAAAAAATTACCGTCTGCATTGAAGAACTGGTTTCTACTACCTCTTCTTTTCCCTACACCCATGTTTTTACGTCGTGGTTCTCGCAGTGAGGACAAGTGCATGGCGGATAAATTGCAGCAGATGTCTCTGTCTGCTGCATTGGTTACCAGGTACGTAGACAGTTGGAATTGGTTACACTATGAAGTTATTGGGTTGATGCATAATTATTGCGGACTCTTTCGAGGCTTCTTTTCTCTCGAACCAATTCGAACACTGGATTCGGGATTTTGATAAGAGTAATCTTCACGCTTTCCTCAACAGAAATATGTCTATAAAATCATCTTCATATTCGCAACATTATGCTCTACTGGTCAATAATTGTTGTGATTCTTTCAGAAGTGACAATTATCCGGTTTGTAAAGATTTATTATCTAACTACTGTGGCGGAATGCAGAGTGCTTCTTCGCTGTCGCATTTGCATTTGTCGCAGTTGCAGTCCTTATCCTCTTTGCATGGTTCACCAATCTCATAAATTAGAGAACCGAGGTAGTTTCCTCTGAAAATCGGCTGTCGAATGGGGTGATATGAAAATCTTGCGCTGCACAAATACGCTTACGCTCGAGCATATTCACATCCCACCAAAGTCATGTCTTTACACCATACAACTGCGCAACCGACTTTCTTGCTCCACTGCCAGACTACCTAAAACGATGCATGTATTCCTTTGATTGGTATCACTGTTTAGAGGTTTCTATATCACCTGACTGTAGTGNGTAAAGATTTATTATCTTACTACTGTGGCGGAATGCAGAGTGCTTCTTCGCTGTCGCATTTGCATTTGTCGCAGTTGCAGTCCTTATCCTCTTTGCATGGTTCACCAATCTCATAAATTAGAGAACCGAGGTAGTTTCCTCTGAAAATCGGCTGTCGAATGGGGTGATATGAAAATCTTGCGCTGCACAAATACGCTTACGCTCGAGCATATTCACATCCCACCAAAGTCATGTCTTTACACCATACAACTGCGCAACCAACTTTCTTGCTCCACTGCCAGACTACCTAAAACGATGCATGTATTCCTTTGATTGGTATCACTGTTTAGAGGTTTCTATATCACCTGACTGTAGTGACCAACTCCATGATTGAAAACTTCCATGGTGAGTCTGTTTTCCTTTGGCACACCCTTGTGTTCTAGTTCACTGAACCAAGCAGACACACTCTGGAACAGAAGTCTCCGTTTCTCGAACATAGGTCTGACTCCGATTTTCTCACATTTTCTGCTGCCCTCGTCTTATTAATGTGGCGCGCCGATGTCATGTAGAGGTTCTGTCCCCAGTAGTTCCTGTCCTTATAGGAATTATGTGCAAATTTGCATTCCTTGGCATAATTCATCATGTTTTCCTCGATTGCACAATCGTAACTCTGCAAGAATGGCGAATTTCACTAAAGGTCCTATGTCAGACCCTTGTGAATCTTAATAAATTGCTACACGCTCATTTCTGATGAGCCTTTCAGTATACCATTTTCAGCATCCTGGCTGCCGGCGGAGCGTTGCCACCAAGCTTGTTTTTGGCTTGTCCTTTGGCGACGAGTGTCCTAGACAATTTTTTGATAATTTGTAAATTACCTGCTTGCTCAACTTTAGAATCCAACCTATACTCATTGTGCTTGTCGACGAACGCTTTTCTTACTTCGTCCGACATCCCGTCTTTGTCCGGACACAAGGCTGGAAAGTGAAATTCTTGTAAACCACTGCTTCTGCTTTCTGCTGAATAGATTAACTGCTTATTGCAGTTCACTTACATGCCCATCCAGATGCAGTGAGTAGCGCCTAAAGACAGTCATTCAGTACTCATTCAAG